CGCCTCTGGCTGAAACACGCTCACACACACGCAGACAGCCTCACACGGGGCTGCGGAGTGTGGAGGGGCTCAGACAAGGGGAACAGGACATCCTAGCACTAGCGATTATCCGATCCTTCTCCATCGTGTTCCATTAAGTTTAAGCAAGCATGGGGGAACACACACACACACGGTTCCCTCAGAAGCTGAGGCTATCCAAGGGCTTGACTGCGCCGTCCTGTATCCTGCACTGGATCTGCATGAGACTTAGATAATGACATCTGTCGCTGCTCCTTTAGTCACAGTCACTCCTGCACTGCCCATTAGCTGACTGCTGGCTGGCTACCCCAGCTTGACACGCTCTGATGGCCCCCCACAAAAATACAAGCCACCGCTGTGTTCCTTTCTTTCTCTTTTTCTCCCTGTCTGTCTGTCTGTCTGTCTTTTTTCTGTTTAACCCTCTCATCCTTCTATCTTTTTCTTTTGTCTCCTTGCTGTCCTATATAGAGGGTGGCTGCTGGCCTTGCAATCAACTATTAAAAGCATTCTGTAAACCACAATGGAGCACAGCAAAGTAGATGATTAGACTTACATTCTTAAAAATACAGCTGCCAAAAAGGGTCATTAGGAGTGATTTAGGAAAAAAAACAAAAAAAAAACTTTCAGAACCCTAAAGAACCTCGATTCATGGTTCTTTAAAGAACCAATGTAAAAGAGATGTGTATATGAAAAAAAATAATAAATAATAAGAATAAGAATAAATCACCTACGATTACCTATTTTTTGTTCACTCTTAAAAATAAAAGGGCCAAAAAAGGTTGCTTGGAGTGATGCCATTAAAGAACCACTTTTGGTTCCATTAAGAACTATTTTTGTGAATAAGTACAAGTGTGAACAACCTTTCTAAAGGTTTAAAGAACCTACACATAATGTAAAGATTCCATTAAAGGTTCTATACCAATTAAAAGTTCTTTTCTAGAACTGCACATTCACACCAACAAGCATTTAGAAACTCAGCCTATAGAATTATACTAATAAGAATACAAAATATGAAAAAAACAATACCAGATCAGATTGATGTGTGTGAAAGAATACCAGATCTAAACAAACCTTTAGACAAGTTTTGGCTCTTCTCCTTTTTTGTGTGTGAGAGAGACAAAATGCAGACTCACTCTGGCCATAACTGAAACTCAGTCAAGACCACAGCAGCTGCAAAATATCTATATTAATGTGTTTATTCATTGTAATATTTAAAACCAGGATAAAGAGACTTGGGAAGAAAGGAGGAAGATTACATTTAGAGGACTACTGCTGAATATCTACCAAAAATCAGTAGCTAAATGAAGTGGATAAACATCAGTTTCATTGCATCAAGGCAGAGACTGTACCTCAAACAGCCTCATGGCCTCATTTATAGCACAACATTTTTGTATCTACAAAAATAAGTGTGTGCTAATAACCCACTCAGACAAAGCAAGGAGGCGGTGAGTATTTCCAGTTATTAGCCATTGGTCATTAATGTCTGCAAGTAAAGGGAATGGAGACCGCGGCATCAGTTTTGATAAAGCAAGGCAATTTCAAGGACTGCTATTCAGCCAAATTACAGTTGTACATCATGCTGATCCCCCACCCCCCATTGTACAACTGTGTGATGTTAACATTTCATTTGCATGTCTGCCAACACAGACACTGGGTAGAACCCTGGGCTACACAGTGAATCACTGAGGCCCAAATCATGAGCACTGGCACCATCTAGTGAGTGAAGAGTGATACTTCAACTAGATTATTGAGTGAGCTTGTATTTCTTTTTCGCAGCTTTTCACGTTTCAGCCTGTTGTCTTTATTATCAGTGTTATTGCCTTGTTCTTAAAGCATCAAATGTGCACTTTCTCTATTAAATGTATAAACAATATTTGTGTTTACATGTACAAAATTCGGAAAAAAATAGAGCAGTTTGAATATCAAATGTATTTACTGTACCTCAGGAAGAGCAGAGCATTTAGGTGACGCTGGGTCACTGTGCTGAAATGTCAGCAATTTAATACATTTGTAGCCCTATAAAAATATGTTACATTTGTCCATAAATATTAGCCCAGCTAGATGTAGACCCAGTTTGTATATTTTATGAACGTTTATGTATCAGCTTCGGCATCAACAGATACATACATAGAAAAGTATCAGATATCGCTACTGGCCCACAATTCCCACATCAGAGCATCTCTAAAATAAAAGCTGTGAGGGTCATAATTTTAAATTTACTTTTAATTATTTTAAAACAGCATTACAGCTACTCACAAATATCTCTAAATTCTAACCACAAAATAAATGTTTTAATAGAGAGATGCTGTTACCAGAAGTATGGTCCATTTTTACATGACTAAAAGCTGCAGAGATTGCTGGTTGCAGTTTTAGATAACAAATGACATTTTCAAGAGCACTTTTTTTAGCTTTACAATGTCAAAGAAAGAATCTGATAACTAAACCATAGACAGCTGTCTGTACATTAGTAGTATGATTTGCTTGTACTGAGAAATTTGCTTGATGCATGGAGACAGCTGTGAAGTAATAAGAGGATTTTGATTTGAATGTTGCTGAATGTGACTGACATGACCTGTACACATTATTGAATTAGAGAAAGTGTTCAGTGTCAGAGAGATCAGACCTAGCGCATGAAAACTCAATCTATTTCTTTTGCGAGCCATGAATGTAGCTGCTGGTGTCACTCAAGAAATGCTGTGGTTTTGACAAACAGTTTGGCAGTGAGCTAGTCCTCCTCCCTGCCCCACGAGTTAGTCTATTACGCAAATCAATAACATGGACAGATTCAAACATGAGTGCCCCAAACATATTAAAGAAAAACAGTACTGAGAGAAATTGAGTGTTTGTGATAGACAGAGGTGAATGAGACTCTCTATGAATCATCATCAAGGATGGCATAATCACATTGCATGTGCCATCATCTGCAAATGACACAAAATGAAAAATAAAGACAGAAATCTAGTAATTCTTCCTATACCTAACATTTTGACATTTGAATTCAACTGTTTTATTGCAATCCTTTAGTAAGAAATTAGTCAGTCCTTCTAAGCCAATCATTTCTCCTGACAGGCCAGAAAATTTGCGTTGAAACAGCATGCTATTCGAGGGCAGCAGGAAGCCATTTAGAGGATTATTGCTGAATATTTACCAGAAATTAGCAGCTTAATGAAACGGATAAAATTCTATCACTGTTTCGCTGCAACTAAACTGCGTGGAAATGGAATTTAACGGCCTTTACTGCTTTTCATAATAGCTGCAAGGCTTTTCTGTATCTTACGGCCCAAATGCCAGGCTCACATTGCTTAACTAATTTGTTTAATAATAGAGGATCAGTACAGTTGTGCTAATTAATAATAATAATAATAATAATAATAATAATAACAACAATAATAATAATAGATAGTGGGAAACATTCACAAAAAGTTAAATAAAAAAAAAGGGCAAAAACTGCTTTGGGTCTTGCTTTTGCTAGTTCATTGAGCCGAGATTAAACTGCAGTGGCTATGAAAATGCTCCGGCTCCACATCTCTTGCTCCCCAGAATCGGCTTCATCAGTGGCTAAACCAAGAACCGTTTCAGTTTCCTCAGCTCAGGAGCGCTAATTCTACTCTGAATCACCAGACTGAATTAAAGTCAAGCTCTCCAGAGAAAGAACGAGACAGTTTATCCTTTTGCACTGTATACACATAAGCTACCCATTAGGTTTTTTTTTGTTTTCTGTTTTTTTTTTTTCACAGGAGTGGAACCAGAAGCTTCATCCACCAGGTGGACTGACTGACTGCTGTCCTATCCTGGCAGGGAAACGTGGTAACTTAAGATGAACCTCCAAAAGGATCTGTACAACACGGAAACCATATGGGAACAAGGTGCAAATGCCAATACCACATCACAAAAAGAAAAAATATACAGGGTGGAAATGCAACATCTTTCTTACAGAATTAACAGAATGTCAAACAATTTTAAAGCTACTAAATAATTTTCTTCTTTTTTTGTTTATTTATCCCTCCCATGTGGCTCTCCTGATCGGCCACCAGCTGTGTCCACAGTATGTTCATATATATCATATAGTGTTAAAGAAATGTTAAATGTTAAATAACTTAACCTTCAACTTCTAAAATATTATTCATAACATTACATAAAATATCTGCTTTCAAGTTTGAGGTGCATTATTGGAGTGATTGACATACTAGGCATACAGTGATAATTCAAGCATACTGGTATCCGTAGGCATCTGATTGAAAAAAATATTGACATCAGACAGATTTTAACAGTATTTCATACTGAGGTGTGACATTTGATGTATTTATTATACTTCAGAAGATCAGAATGTTCAGGCAGCGCTGGGCTTCTGTGCTAAAATCTCAATTTTATTTTTTTACACTTGCATTTGTAGCCCTATAGAAATGTTTAATTTCTCTACAATGCTAATCCAGTTGGGTTTAGTACCAGTTTCTTAATTTTATAAATGCTAATGTAGCAGCATTGGCAAATACATACAGAAACAAACACTGGATACTGGTACTGGGCCACAGTTCCCATAGCGGTGCATCCCTAGAGAATTTATTAGTGAAAGACTTCTCACACCTCTCAAGGTCCTGGTTCACATTCAGAGATGCAGCACCAATATGGATCACCAGTTTTTAGATTTGTAGAGATTCTTGATGATCTAAATACTCTTATTGAATTACTCACAGCATCCCTCTTTACTGTTTAGAGTCAATCACTGGCAAACTATGTGTTAATTAAAACATCAGAATTCACAAAAAAAACTCTTTACAAGAATATTCAAATCATAATCAGCACTCAACTCTCAGACTCTGTATCCTCCTTTAAATTCGAGTCAAGTGTGATAACCCAGTAACTAATGTTTTTCACAAAGTCTTCATTTAACTTTTAGCAATTTGATTTGCATACTCCCTGGACTCAGAATGCATTTCTATCTGAAGGCCACTGGAAAGGTACATGCAGTAAAAGAAAAGTCATTTTTTCAGGTGTGTATGTTTTATTTTTTGTGAATGGTAACATCTTTGGCAGAACATAAAAGATAGACGTAATCTTATATGCAGTCTGAGAAGCGAGAATCACAGGAAACCTAGAGAATCACCCTAGCTAATAATTAGAATGAGAGATTTGGTTGTGTTCTTTCTCCAATTTCATTTATACTGAGTTAGTGCATATTCCCCTATTATTCAATAAGAAATGTTATGCTGATTGCAAGACAACTTAGATTCTGTACACATGCTTGGAATGGGTATTATATTGGTATTATATATAAACATTTTCATGTTTGATGTCTTAAAGTCAACCAAAACATCATTAATTTCGTGACAAAAGTGAAAGTGAACATGAAAGTGTTAAGATGTTGGCACCACACAACCGGAATGTACTTTTTCAAAGGTCATTCTGACTCAAAGGGCCACGTGCCAACGATGTGGTAACTTCACTGGAGTCTCTGAGACTAAGCGACTAACAGAAGTGAGTGCAATCACAGTGTCCTACAGCTAAACTGTACAACTATTTCGCTGTTTTGCAACACTTTCAGCACATTCTCAATGTGAGAGTAGGGTCGGGCTGCACAATTAATCACATACTATCAAGTTTGGCCTCTAATTAACTCATTGTAAAACACAGCAATGAATGCATTCTATTTAGGATTTAGCGACAGGTCTGCTGCATCAAAATCAAACACTACTAGTTATAAACAGTGCTACTCATCAAATGAGTGTTCCTACAAAACACAAGCATTTTTTGGTGAGTGCACTGACAACATAAATGTTCCCACTGAGTGTTCTGTGACCTTTCAGAGAAATCAGCCCTCCTGGCCTGATAAACCGCGAGGATTTCTTTGAAGCACGCTGTGGCATTAATAACTGTTCATTTCAATTAATAATTAATCATAACTCCAAAACCCAAAACAAAACCAAATTCATACACCTGTGCAGCCCTGTGTGAGGTCACATTTTTGTGAGCCATAAGCCTGAATCGGCAGGAGAGGAACACGCACATAAACACGCACGCACGCACGCACAAACACACACGCACCACTCATACATAAACAAACTAAACAATACACTCCAATCCCTTTTCACTCTCCTTGTAAAACCTTAAAAAAGAAACAGCTAGGGAAACATGATTATGTTGTAAGCAGTTACTTGCATCAGGCAAGTCACCTCTATATAAGGCTTCACAAGTGGTGTTGTGTGTACTTGGCCAAACTAGTCCTCAGAAGGGTGCACAATACCTAGTATCATTACACAGTGTCTTCCAAGACTACTTGTTGAGGATTAAACCAGGGATACATTGTATGATCACCTTTTGTGGCCAAGAGCAGAACAGTACAGCTTTTGTTGGCCAGGTAGGTCTCAAGAGAGTGAAGGTTTCGTGCCAAGTGTGCCGAGGTGCTTTCCCCTGCCCTGTTGGGGACTTGCATTTCTTGTTACTCGTTTGCAATCTCTTATTATTCTTGAACAGTTTGTTAATGCCTTTTAGTCACACAAAGAGAGCAATCAAACTTGCTTCTTTTTGTGCCTCTTCCCTTTCGTCCTATTGTAGCTTAGCAAGCTTTCCCCAGTTATGTTGCAGCACCTGCCCCAGTGCTGCATGTTTTCTTTCGGTGGCTTTAGAGTCCCTTGCTCTGTGTATAAGGCTTTTGGGAGCAGAGAGAATGGCTGGCATGCTAGCATGCCTCCCGTTTATTGTCCTTCTGTGTTTCACTGACTCCCACTTCCTCTCTATTCTTTACCTCCTCCACTCTGTAGCTGCTGTCTCTTACACTGTGCTCCTGGGGGTGCCGTTTAGGGCGACTGTCTTCATCATGCAAGGCGTGCCAGCTGCCTGCAGACCCATCCTTGGTGTAGACAGTCCCACCTCAAATACCTCATGAATCGCTTTGCGAAAACAGTGGAAATTGTAGTCTATCAAGCCTGTAGTGCAAAGGGTGCAAAGAGTGGTGAATATTTTCTTGAACACTGAATTTAGACAACATACAGAATTTGCAGTAGAATCATAAAAGTTCAAATGGGGAGCGAAACAGCAGCAAAACAATCTAAATCAGTTAATATTTAATGCAACTACAAAACCTCAAGGGGATAAATGGGGAAAAAAATGCAGAGTTCATTACTGTTGCATACCATACCTTTGCGCTCGAAGCTCTCTTCTCTAAGAATACAGACGAGGGCGAGGAACTTTGTGACCTCTTTCAAATAGAGGACGGTGGTGTTATTAAGTTTAATTATGGCCATTGACTCCTTATCATACGCACTGCCACTGCCATCTTCCTTCAGTCTGTACAACCAAAACACAAATCTGTCATCAGCATCACAGATACCACCTAGCAAACAATATACCCATGTGATTCATGTTGGAGGGATAATAAAGCTAAATCTTTACTTATACTGGGGAAGGTAAATTATATTTATCGTTATCAAAATAAATTTTCATGTTGCAGAACAAAAATTATTCCTGTTTAATTGTATTAGAGTAGCTCATTATGCTAAATGTTGAATAAAAATAATTGTACTCATACTTTTTCATCATTATCTGTTTAATATTACTACTCATCAAAACCTCAGAAAAACTAAATACTGTGATGCATACTGTGCATCATGAAAATGTCACTAATTATCATGACGTTATATTTTTGGCATATCACCCACTCCTTACTTATACCTAAAGCTGTTACAGTAGTTAGCCATTCTGAGTTAATTAGACAGCTAGTTAGATGGAACGATGTACATTTATATTTATTCACACATACTCAAGTGCTTATAAGCATACAGCAAGCTAAAAACAAAGCATAAACAAAATATAAATTTGTGTAAAGCGTGTATGGAGACACTGATGTTGAGTGTAGTCTTACCCATAAATACACGACACGTCAATGACGACATCGATCATATCACAGCACAGCTCATAGGACTGCATGTCCACTGGCGAACTGTCTGTTGCTATGTAGATCTTACTAACCACATCAAACAGAAAGGCCTTCTCAATCCCTGAATTCTGTTAATGGAGACAAAAAAGTAGGGAAGGGAAGAGAAAGAAATTAAAAATGCATGGAAGCTTATGTTTCAGACACTGGTATTTACTATTACCAGAAGATCACCCTGCATTTTTGAACCTCGCAATAACATAGGTGTAATAATAAATTAAAAAGTAAATATTAAAACAAGACATATTTGGATAAACAACTCAAAGTAATTAAAGGCTTTGTGGAGGTGAAGGCAAAACACATACAGAAATAAAGATGTTGAGCAGGTTTTCCAGAGTAGGCAACTGAGGGATGAGCTTCTGAACCACTTTACTGAAGGCCTCAAATATAGAGTGGTCATAGATACTCGTCAAATAGAAGCTGCGAAACAGAGGAAAAAATGTGTAGTGAAAAGCATTGATATTCATAATGCACATCATATTTTTATTAAGACGTTAATTACAGTTAACAAAACAATCAAGACTTTAACACTGTGTCACACATGCAGCACAAAGTTAGACTGTCCACACTGAATTCCCCAGAACCCTTAAAACAGGAAGCTTGTAAAAATAATACTATGGCAGAAACCTTGTAGTTAAACTAGGAAATCTACAAAAATAGACACAATGTAAGGCCATGTAAACAAATGCAGACAAGTAACTATTTTCAAATAAATAAAAATATGAAGGTGGAAGTGAGGAGAAAACCAAAGATGTATTGAGTTAATACACATCACCTGCACCACGGCAGCCAAGTGAAACCAACAGTCACCAAGCAAGACCACGAGGTCAAAGAATTAGGCATCATAAAACTATCACAGAGAGAATTCTGTCTGTAAAACACACCATCTCATCAAACTACAAAGCCATAAACTCACATATACTCTGACTAATGTGCCCATAAATCAATAGTTACATGACCACATAAAATAGCACCTTTCAAAGGGATGTGGGGAAGAAAATGGCACGCAGGAGACCTGCCTTTTGATTATACAGTCTGAGCAGCCCCAGTGAAACAACATTTTGAACAAATAATGTGTAAAGCCAAGCACACACAGAGGCACAATCTCACCATTTGCTTCTTATTTTATTTTTCTGAAATTATTACGGGCACACTGAACAATTTATGCTTCTAGGGATGGATATCTAAAAAAAAACAGTGCTAAATTGGTATTGGCTCCTGAATGGTCAGTATCGATATATCGTTAAGCTTCTGGACAAATGGTGCCACTATAAGTATTTATGTAACGTTAACTCATTCTACATAGCAGGCCTTTTCAAATGGTTGGTGCTAGATTGGTCAGCGGGAGGGGTGTTCTGAAAGCGCGACAAGTGTTGGCATGCCTCTGACTACCTTAACCATTTTGAATGCCGAGTGTCATTCTGTTCTCTCCATCATGGCAAAAAGGGTAAGGTGCTCAAAAGTGTGGGGTCACTTTACTAAATTCAGTGACAATGTAGCTAAATGCAAACATGTAAAGCAGAATTGTGTGTAAAGGGGGCAACACCAGCCACCTCAAGGAACACAATACAAATTAGCAAACAACAGAAATCTGAAGCAGCGCAGCATGTTTGCTTTCTCAAAGCGGCTGGGAAAGTAGCAATATTAAGCTGAGCCTGTACAGAAATAAAATTCGGTAGCTAGCATAACATAGCTTTGTTTTTTGCACCAAATTATAGAGAGTTGTATCAATAAAAGTATCAAAAAGTATCATATCCATAAGCAGTATCAGTATCCATTAAATCCTAACGATAGCAAACCCTAGTTACTACTGAGGCTGATCTTGGTTAATGCTCAGCAATGACTAAGCATATGTGGCAGCGCTGATCAGAATATGCAGAACATGTGGATGAGAATGGTACTCCTCAAATATGCAATTTCTGAACCCGTGTTACTTATGCTACAGAGCTGCTTTTACACAGTGATACTAAATCAAAACAAGCTGCTTGGTGTCCTTGTATAAGCTAACCATGTGATAAATATTTCCATCTATGTGTGAAACCTTCCTCACAGGACAGTGTAATCCATTACACTATTTAGCAGACTGAAGTTGCTTAACAGTCTTAAGTTGCTTCTTTTCATGAACCATCATTCAGCACCTCCTTAGCATCCCCAGAAAATGCTGACTGACCTAATCATACAACTTCCACTTCCATACACCTGCCACAAGATATGCATCTTAGCAACCGTCACTATCCGTTAATGCTTCAAGTTGTTTTATGTGCACCAGTGTTTGAATTTGTAGCTCCAGTGTGGTTAAAAGATGCACTTGGAAGATAACTGTCCCTAATAGAGTATAGTATGTCTTTCTTTACCCATCCAAAGCCAAAAAACAAATTTTCTTAACGTCACTGTAGTCTTTGGGGTCTATTGGGGTCTGTGAATTTGGTACTTACAGCGCTTTTCAACTAGCAACAAAAACTAAAAATGCACTGTCAAAAAGCCCAAGCAAACATCTACTTAAATGCATCAAGTCATCATGCCTGCAGTGGCAAAATACACTATATGGCCAAAAGTATGTTGACACTTCTCTTCATAATGGAATTCAGGTGTTTAAGCCACACTCATTGCCAACAGGTGTATAAAAATTAAGCACATATTTATGCAATTGCCTTAGATAACTGCCTCAGAGTGAGGCTGCCGAGTGCCGAATTGCATAGCGCATATAAATTGCCTATCATTTGGCAGTAGAACAGTTCATACTGAAGAGTTTGGTGACTTTAAATGTGCCACTGTCACAGGATTTCACATTTGCCACAAGTCACTTTGTGAAATTTCCACCCTGTTTGATCTGTCCCAGTCAACTGTAAGTGCTATTATTGTGAAAGCATCTATGAGTAAGATCAGCTTAGCCATAAGGCGGCAGACCATGCAAACTCACAGAGCGAGACTGCAGAGTGCTGTAAAAATATCCTATCATCTTTTGTATCACTCACTACAGAGTTCCATGCTGCCTCTGTAAGCAACATCAGCACAAGAACTGTCCGTCAAGAGCTTCATGAAATAGGTCTCCATGGCCGAGCAGCCGCTTTGAGCAGATCACTATGCGCAATGCCAAGCATCAAATGGAGTTCTGTAAAGCACAACGTCACTAGAATCTGGAGCAATAGAAACATGTTCTCTGGAGTGATTAAACGCTTCCAACTTTGTGACAACAGCTTAAGGAAGACTCTTTCCTGTTCCAACATGACTGAGCCACTGTGCACAAAGTGAGATTTTGGTGTAGTGAACCTCCAACGGCCTACACAGAGCCCTGACCTTAACCTCACCAAACACCTCAGAAATGAATTGGAATGTTGACTGTGAGCAAGACCTTCTTGACCAATATCAGTGCCTGACCTCACAAATGGGATGAATGAATGGGCACAAATTCCCACAGACATACTGCAAAATCCTGTGGAAGGCCTGAATAGGTAGAGTGATGACAACCCTGCAGTTAACAATAGGCTATAGCTTGATGTAATGGAGATGCGGGACATAGCGGGTTTGGAAGTTGTATCTATCAAGTTGTCCCACTCACTTTTTCACTACCCAATAATTAATAATTAATTTCTGCCTACACCACTGGCGTGAGTGCTTTGCGCATCACTAAAATGCAACACATTTAGTTGTGAACAGCAAAAGTACATGCAGAGTAAGACTAATCAATGAAACACAGGTCACAGCAAGTCTTATGTGTGCCTGAATATTGGAAACCTTATATTCAATCTTCTAATGTGGAGCTAGACTACAGGTCAGTAACAGGCCACTAACACCCCCCGCACCATAGGTATAGCACCCCCTTCAAATGTTTCAGCATAACTGTACTACGAAAAAAAAAAAAAAATTCAGCCACCACCCCTGACCATCAAACGAGTAGAATTAGTCATTCTGAATTACTAAGATTAAATGGTATTTCTATTTATCCAAGTAACATTATATTGTGAATCTCTGGAAACATCTAACACATAAAACAATTTTTAGAGGATAAACCCAATAGAATTGCACTACCCTATTTATGTAACGGCTGCTCTGTTTAGCTTGTGTTACATGTTTTATAACCTGATTAATATTGCAGAAGTCTGTATCACAAAGGACAACTGCGTGCTTGTGAGGCTGTGATGAAAAAGCAACAGTAACTCCTTTTGTGAGGAATTTGATTGCTTGGTAATTCAGAGGGTTTCATTTGTCGCAATGCACAAGAACACAAATACGCTCCCAAAAATTATTTTAAAGTAAACTTCCTCCCAAGTTAAACTGAAGGAAACTGCCTTTCTGCATTCCAGCTGAAAAGAGAGTTTACCTAAGATGCAGTTTCTCCAGACTGGCATCAGCTAGGTCATCATTAGCTCGCTGGTGAATATCCCTCTGAGTCTCTATCTTGTGGTCATCTGATAGGCCATCCACTTTATGGATGAACACTTCAAAGTTGATTTCAGGGTTGACTCTATAAGCCCGAGACACAGTGAGGTGAAGTCTGCCAAGAGCCTCCACATAATCATCCTATAAGAACAAAAAACAGATACAGAACAAGAGTGAATAAGCTCATTTTCCCTGATTCATGCAGAGATCATGATTGATGGGAGCACAAAACATAAAATCATGTAAGTGTGGTGCAGTGGATATACAATGTGCAGCACCTCCATTGACTCTACCTGTGGAGGGTACCTAAGCTCCCAGCATTTCAGTGCAACCAGCATGTAAGAAAAATTAGCAATATTGAAGAGTGTACCATCAGCCTATTTAAGGACAAGGTAACATTAACTTGCTTCTCTGAATCATAATTTACATTGTCTTACAATGCTGATTAACTACACATCACACAGCATGATCTAAAGGTCACCTGTAATCTGTACTATGACTGTGGATGGATGGCCTTGTTATCAACTGAAGAATTTTGTTTGATAGCAGTAGCTAAACCATAACTTAAGTACACAAAGAAGGACCTTTTTCATGTTAATACAGCAGTAGAGACATATATTTAGAGTGCAAGTAGATTTTGAGAGGGCTTGAGAAGAGGAAAAATGTTTGTTACCACTAACATAAGGCACATAAAAGGTTTCTTTAGTAAAGAAATCCCATATTTTTCCACAAGACCAGAAACTTCCACATCTTCACACTGGTGTGTGTGTGTGTGTGTGTGTGTGTGAAAATATCTTGTTTCTGAGAATGCCATAAGTTGGATTTGTAATGGCTTATCGGATGGATTTGTGGAGCTGTGAATAAAGCAATCAAATATCCATTGTGAAACGTCCAGCTCAAATAAATAAAATGGCACAGAAGCTGCGTCACATGTCTCAGCTTTACATATCCATGCTTGCAATGACCCAGGATTTCTTGGAGTAGCAAACATGTTACTGGGAACTAGGAGGGAACTGCTGACTTAAAGTAATCGTTTGGCACTAAATAAATAAATAAATAAATAAATAAATAAATAAATAAATAGTCTTTATACCCTATGCAAACTGTTGCTAGGAAAAAAATAAAATAAAAAATAAAAAAAATAAAAAATGGACAAAAATATAAAATTTTTATATATATATTATATATATATATATATATAAATAATCACATAACTCAAAAGAGTAGTCACCTCCTGAAGCTAAAAATCTATTTTAGTCATATTCTGTTACAAACCATACCAAGCAAGTTGATTATTAGTCAACAAATTAGCATGGTTTGAGGCAAATACGTGATGACTTAGACATGCTGTTAGCACAAAGCTAATTAACAGGCTTTAGGATTCCAGTACTTATTAGCTACATTACACCTGTACACCTGCTAAAAACTAAATGAAAGAAGCAAACTTCAAACTCTAAGCATGCCTTGGCTGACTTTAGGCACACATGGATATAATGATACATTTAACATGAAATTGGTCCAAGCTGTGATTTGGTTCAAGTGGAATTTCATTATACTTTTGAGTGACCTGAAAAAAGTGTCAAAGGGAAGATAACAGACTTCTTGTGTAATCAAAATGGCTTCACAACTTCCTAATTGTGGCTTTCAACATGTAAGACAAGCTACACTTAAAATGCTGAGATCTTTTACCATCTTCAAAGCCTCACAATGCAAGCATTTACTCACACTGGTTGGTTAAAACAGAATGTGTGTGTGAGAGAGAGAATGGGGAAAACAATCCTGTGGTACCTGTGGAACAAATTGTTTCGTCCTGTATTTACAAATACAAAGTGGTTATGCAAATCAAATGTACTGCCAGACAGATTTGCTAGCTGTATGACAACTATTGGCATATAGCCATTTCAAGCACCACCAGAGCTACACCAGAAACCTATCATCAATCACTACATGTACTATGGCAAAATGAGTGTAACTGTGTCACTGTCATTTTTTCATTAGTTAAAACAATCTGAACACTACAATATTTTTGGAAATCTTATTCCTTGGAAACTCACACTCACCTGGAGATCATTATCTTGTGAAATTATTTAATAAAATCTTTTAATTTGTTTAAATCAATGCAAGCAATTCAAGAGGGCACTTTCTGTCTGAATGCACACAGTAATCAATAGTAAAGCAGAACAAAAGCCAGGATGAGTCAGCAGACCACAACAGCAGGCCGATGTTTTCATTGAACATCATTTAATGTGCCACATTTTGACACAATATTGTTGTTTTACCTGTGCATCAATAACAAATATCAAGGCTCCAGTTCCTCTGAAGATCATCTCATAATCAAAGGTGGGATCAAAGAAGTCCACTTGGCCTGGGAAATCCCAGATCTGAAAGTTGACAAAGGAACTGCTGGAGATGTCATCCTTGTATATTTTGTTAGTGCTCTCCAGAAACAGGGTCTCATTGGGGGACATCTTATGGAACACCACCTAGTGAGAGATACGGCACTGATTTAAATGACTGAGTTTCATAGTACAGCAGTTTAATTCAATCAGATTCACAAAGCTGTTGTCTAATTTTGAGTAGATCCATGTTGCACATCTCCCTGTGGTTAGTTTCCTACTCATTAACAATAACAGATAATCATTAAGTTGGGGAAATCTAGTACAAAGACCTGAATGCTTTTTAGCATATGAAGAGTTGGTTTAATACCCGTCCTTGATCATCAAATGAGTGGTCTTAGAAATGTATTTTGTGCAATATGCAAAATGCACTAAGACTCTGTTTTATCACTTAAAATATCAGTTAAAACAACCTCCTTCCCAAAATGTCTGTGACAATCATAATATTCTTCTAAGATTCAGAAACAGAGGTCCCTGGGGTACACCAGCATCATTAGTAACATCAAAGTCCTTGAGAGTGCAGTGTGGTAGGACCTCATCTCTCAGCCTAAATGGGCCTAAATGTGAAAGGTGTGTAAACAGTAATGACAGGATGAACAGCGGACAGACTGAGAGTTTTAAATACACTAATGCTAATATTACAGCACCTTCTAAAGCTGTAAAGATGTTTATGCCTTTTGTAAGTTAGCTCGCTACTTGCCTGTGTGTCGGAAAAAACAACTTTAACTAGTTAGCTTAGGTTACCTAACGTAACGTTACAGAATAACAAAGCGTCTACCTTTTCAAACGAGGAGGAGATTTAAATGTAAGAAGTGTGTAAACATCAACTACACTATTTAAAGCAGACAGGTTCAGCACTTCAAATACAACTTCAAATGCAACGTTAACGCTAGTTACTAGCATTAACGTTAAACCACTTTGAAAAGCCCCGCGAGGAATGACGTTATCCAGCTAAATGTTTATGTACGATAGCGTGTATTAGCCAGTTAGCTAACTAGCTAGCCAACACTTCTATGCTGAATCAACTATCATTTCTTCAGCCTTCCAAAATGGCTTTTAAATGTATCATTTCTTCGGTGAAGCCTGATCTACTACACTGTCTTCTCTGCACTAGATACTGCTGGAGACAACGTATTTTATGTTGGAATTTGGGTGTAAAACCTGTATTTCTTGTGTGAGTTCTTGAGGTTAGCGAGCTCGCTGGCTAGACAGGCTTATGGTGGCTCCGTCTAGAAAGCTAAAGCTAGCCTACACTGATGTCTGTTTTCCCTCCTACCTTCTGAATGGACGACTTCCCGCTTCTCCGCAAACCCATGAGCAGTATTCTCGGTTTGCTATCCGAAGGCGCTGGGCTGTCCTCGATGTCGGCCTCCTCTTCTCCATAGCCGAAGTCTTTAGGGAACGAGTCAGCCACTCCGTAGCTATCTGCCAGCGGCGGCTCCTCGTACTGAATCGACATCTTGACCCGACGCGACGACGCTCGCTTCTCCCCACCCCAAAAAAACACCCTCTTTTCACTTTACACTCACTTGTTTTACCACACGGTTACTGCACATTCAGTACGCATCCAACGTAGCGTGAATAAGCATAAAATGACTGTATGTCTATTAATAGAGGGGCGCAAAGTCGATCAGCAACACTCGTCTTCCGTCCCTGAGCGTTCCCCACTGTTACGAAGTCACCACTTTAGTCTTGCCCCTTCTTGCTTATTGGACGAGAGGCCGCATCGTCATGCGTTGATTGGATAAATCAGGTGTCAATCTTTAAGGCGGCGGAGGAGGCGGGCGGGCAAATCCGTCAGAGTCATGTGCTTTAGAGTCACCTGACAGAACTGCTGTTCGAGAGCCGCACACCGCCTTCAGGGTTTTGTGGGAGCGTTGTGCTGACAAGTTTCGCCTGGGAAGCGCGTAGAACTGTGCATGAGGGAACCTCGGAAACTGTCAGCCCAAGTTGTTAGTCAATTAGTTGCATGGCAATTTAGTCCAAGATGGAAGTTGTAAATAACATGCTGATATCTGACTGTCCTGTCCGTTTTGCCTTGGAGCTTCAGCACACCTGAACCCTGCGTTAACAAAAGAGAATAAGTACCGTATTTGTTCTTTGCCGCTGTAACAGCCTCCACTTTTCTATGAAGGCTTTCTACTATATTTTGGATCATGACTCTGTGAATTTGCTTCCTTTCAGCCACAAGAACATTGGTGAGGTCGGGCACTGAAGGCCTGGCTCATCAATTCATTCTTGAAGGTATTTTTAAGAGGTGAGGTTCTGTGCAGGCTAATCAAGTTCTTCCACACTAGGGGTGCGGGAAAAAAAATAATTCTTAGATGCATCGTGATGCGGACGTGAACGATTCTGAATCGATTCACAAATGTCAAAAATCGATTTTCTAAATATTTAATTTATAACGTAATGTTGACGGAACGCAAAAGGCGGAACTTGGAAGTGAGGGAGTGCAGCGCCCGGGCAGTCTGTGGCGGCACATAACAAAAACACTACTGGATGAGTGAGAAATCCGACCGACAGCCTCTGCATTAAAAGCCAGGTTAGGTCAGGAGTCACAACCCAAGTGTTAAGAAGAGCCATTTTGTCCTTTCAGCAAAAATCAAACCAGCTTGGGAGCCGCAACATTTAATGTCCAGTGTGTCTCAGTATGTGTTAATGTACTAGCTAGTATAGGCTAAACAATATAAACGAGAGCGCAGATTTACTTCACTCTGCTTTAAGCTTTAACTATAGCCGCTTTCCTCCCATCTCCGCCAGAAAACTTTTCCTCAGAAGTAGATCAGTTAAATGTCTCTCAACGTTCGACTGTTTTACGAGGCTGAAGTCGCTTCTTATTCTCCAGCTTCTTGTTCGAATTTACCCGTTCCACCTTAAATTCTAACTGAGGCGCCGAATGTAAATGCGGCACCATTTAAGGTGGAACGGGAGAATTCGAAAGAGAAGCTGACTAAAGGCTTCGCCACTTTTTAGTGTGTGACAGTCTCTCGTTGCAGATTTAACGTACCAGGAAACCAACTGCAGTGCTTATAAATGCGAATAACGCATCGCTGCTAGGTGACCTGAAGTCTGCACGCCGGTTCCCAATAGTTGCGAAACAGGGCTTTCGCGCTATGTTTCACACGTCCCGTCTCAAAGATACTTTACTGACACAGCGATCCCCCCGTCTCTACAACGAGACCAAAACCGAAGTTATAAAATCACTAAATAAAACGGGTAGAATAGCTGTAACGTGCTGCGTGGACGTCCACTGCCACTGGATCTTATTTCACCGTAACTGCACATTTTATCGCAAATGAGTAGCAGCAGCTTCTCGTGCTCCAAACAAGAGCACTGAATGAGAGCCTTCTAGTTCACTTGCCACATCACATCCATTTGTTTTATTAAAAAAGATATTGGAAGTAAATTCATTATGGATCATTACAAATACTTTGCTTAAAAAGTACCATGTCACTTTAAATAACAATAACACCGAGTTACTTAGTCACTTTAAAATGTATATTGTCTCTATATTCTGTGTATATTTTGTGTATATTTTTTGTATATTTAATATATTTCAGTTGGTTTTTCTTGTATTTTTATTTTTACTTATTTACTTTCTGTAGAGTGATTACCTGAGCCTCACCACAAGCATTTCAGTGCATAAATGTCCTGACATGTGCAATAACTTGAAACTTGAGCTCACACAGTGAGAAAATATAAATGCTATATAGCAAAAAAGATGCATCGAGATGCATCGATAATCGTTTTATAAACGCATCGCAGCCCTCTGAATCGTAATCGTAATCGAATCGAATCGTGAGGTGCCTAGAGATTCCCACCCCTATTCCACACAAAACTTGACTACTCGTTTCTTTATGGACAGCATAAAATTCCTGTTGGAACTAACTGTTAGTTTACATAGTTTTACAGAATGTGTATGACTTCCTTTTCTGGGCTGCCAGCTCTCATGCATTGGCTGTGAGATTCACACTCATGCCACACTCGACATTTCTTACACGTTTTTACAAAATGACCTACTGATGAATCTAAATGCGCATGAATTTTTCTACTACTGCTTAGTTTTAACTTATTAAAACACTCTGGACCGGAAACAGCAGTTTACTTGAATACAATAGGAAAAGATCACGCTAGCTAGTTAAACATTCATTCCCCCTGATTTGTCATTGCACATCTTTTGTCATATTAGGCACTTGACTGATCTAAACCATAATGATGTATTAACATGTCTGTTTATTGCAGATGTTTGCTAAGCGTCATTCAAACACTGCAGTAATAAATAAACTGCAGTAGGAGACACAGGCTCACTAGTTGACCAAAGCACAAAAATCTGGAGCTCAAGAACAAAAACTTGTATTTCTTGATTTGCGCACATCCAACATATCAATGTTGTAGAACTGCTGTAGTTACTTTGTCTGTATAACTTTTTTGAACTGGTCTATATTCTATATTCTCTGTAAGTGGACCTCATTTTGCCCTCATTAGAGGAGGCTGTCTAGTTCAGCAGAGAGCTAACAACAGAAATTATCAATGTTGAAGAAAAGCAGAACTGACCAGCTTTGCTCCTTTAAAGGATTTAAAGGTTTGAATGTTGTCACTCTTAATGTGACAAAGTATTATTTTATAGGTGAGTTAAGCAAAAATATAACTAAGAGCAGTCATGCAGTCATGGTGGTCAGCTCCATAGGTAGAACTGCATTCATGTTGATGGGCTCATATCATGGAAAAATAAGTTTTTTACAGTCCATACAGTCCATATATGGAAACTAAGCTGTTGTAAATTAATTGTTTTTGTAATGTCACAAAAACCATTACCCTTTACATACAGTGCTCAAAAGTAGTCTTGGGATATAATATTTGAATATAATTTATGTCTATTTTATTTATTACTTTCCAAACTACAGTTATCATTTATTCTTTTTTATCTATCAGAAAATGTATAATAACCAGCAATAAAAACAAGCTTACTAACATAAACTTAAAATGTAATTAACTGAAAACTTAAGCAAGACAAGTAAAAGTACTCAAGCAGTAGTGGGACAAACATTGGTGTCTTTTTCTTTTATGCAGGTCAGTATTTAGTCTTTCATTTGTTTAGGTTAGTATTTTGTTGCATGTTGCTTCTTTTGGAAGAAAGCTTGAAGTCTTTGAGACATCAAGTGTATGAGTTTGCACATCTGATGCTCAACCAAACAGGGGCAGCTGCCTAGGGCCCCCATGATGCAAAGGCGCATGAAAATGTGCATTAGATATAGTGTATGAGTTGATGTTCAATAATTTATTCTGAAATATACATTTTAAAAATTGCTTATTTGTGATTATACTTACAATTTACTACATCATTAATTATTTACTTATTTTATAATTGGCAAGCATATTTCAAGGAAAATTAAGCAAAATTATCTACCGGTATAGTGATATAATTTCACTAAGCAAAAATACTGAAAAAGCAAGCAAGCAAGCATACATACATACAAACATACACGGTGGGGTGCTGGAGCCTATCCCAGCTGTCAAGCAAGCAAGCAAGCAAAGTTTATTTATATAGCGCTTTTTACAACAGGTGTTGTCACAAAGCAGCTTTACAAGGAAATCAGCATTACAGAAAGAAATCCGGGTCCAAGACCCCATGAGCAAGCCAGAGGCAACAGTGGCAAGGAAAAACTCCCTAAGAGAAACAGGAAGAAACCTTGAGAGGAACCAAGACTCAGAAGGGGAACCCATCCTCCTCTGGTCGACACCGGATAGTAAACATTGTTAGTATAAAGTATTATAGTACAAAAACTGGGAAAACAGGTGGAGCAAATGATTAATTTGATTAGTTCATGCAGCAGCAGCAGCATCAGTGGGGTCAGGTTGTGAGGGTGAGGTTTGCACGGCGAGCAGTGACACCCGATCAAGGCAGAAGAGGCAGCAGCATCAGACGCACAGGATGGGCAGCTGTTCAACTCGGCAAAGAAAAGAAAGAAAGGAAAAACACACAGAGAGTCAGTTCTGTAATGGGTCATTGATTAATTTGATTAGTTTAAATGATTGATTAGTTCAAATGATTAATTTTGATTAGTTCATGCAGCAACAGCAGTAGCAGCAGTGGGGTCAGGTTGTGAGGGTGAGGTTTGCACGGCGTTGGACAGCAGGAGGCTCAGTGGTGGTAAGCTGGTCCAGAGGGCTGGCGAGCAGTGGCACCCGATCAAGGCAGAAGAGGCAGCAGCATCAGAACGCACAGGATGGGCAGCTGTTCAACTCAGCAAAGAAAAGAAAGAAAGGAAAACACACAGAGAGTCAGTTCTGTAATGGGTGACTGATCACAAATTACAGTGTTAGCGGAGCAGCGGAGACTCTGGCAGGTATAGAACTGACAGGGAAAACTAATTACCAAAGGCTTGACTATACAAGTAAGTTTTTTAGCTCAGACTTAAACACTGAGGCTGTGTCTGAGTCCCGAACATTAACAGGAAGATTATTCCAAAGCCGGGGGGCTTTGTATGAGAAGGCTCTCTCCCCTAACATAACCTTATTAATTCTAGGTACTAATAGTAAACCAGCACCTTACTCTAAGTAGGCGTGATGGTTCATAGTGAGAGAGAAGTTCACTCAGGTACTGAGGGGCGAGTCCGTTTAGTGCTTTGTAAGTCAGTAAGAGAATTCTATAATCAATGCGAAATTTAACTG